TACAGATTTTAAACATTTATTTTAAAAGTAAACACACCATAACAGCGTAAATTAAAATATTTAAACAGTAGTAGTTCCACCAAAGGCCACCTCATCACCAATTTCAGCATCATCCATGTAGAAATCGGACACGTCAAATTTAGGCAAAATTGGATTGATATCATCAGCATAATTAGCCTCCACATTTTTTCCTTTTCCTTTTGTGGAAGCTTGGTATAATTTTACCAAGTGTTTTGTCATTCGACATTCATTAGCCCAATGTCTTTTTATGCCACATTTATAGCATTCACCACTTGGTTTTGGCTTTTCATGAGTTCTAGCCTGTGGTGGTTTGAATTTTCCTTTTCCTTTGGAGGATGATCCATTTGGATTTGTATAGCCCCTGTTCGGCCCTTTGTTGCGGTTATTTCCGCGTCCACGTTTAAAGTGTCCGCGAGCACCACCTTGGATAGCATTTGATTCTGATGTTGAACCACGATCAGGATGGCCAAAATTTGTAGGGCTACAACCGGTGGGCCTCATGTTATGATTTTTCATTAAGAGCTCATTATTCTGCTCAGCAATAAGTAATACTGAGATTAACTCAGAATACTTTTTAAAGCCCCTTTCTCTGTATTGTTGCTGTAATATCACATTTGACATATGCATGGTGGAAAAAGTTTTCTCCAACATGTCATGGTCAGTGATATTATGTCCACATAATTTTAATGTGGACGTGACTTTAAAAATAGCAGAATTATAGTCACAAACAGATTTGAAATCTTGGAATCTTAAATTGATCTATTCATATTGAGATCTTGGCAATAGGACCTTTTGTTGATGTCCGTATCTCTCTTGGAGATTATCCCATAATTCCTTCGGATCTTCCACCAATAAATATTCAGATTTTAAACTTTCATGAAGGTGGTGGCGAAGGAAAATTATGGCTTTTGCCTTTTGCTGAGATGATGATGTATTATTCTCAGCAATTGTATTTTCGAGGCCATTAGCCTTAAGGTGAACTAGTGCATCAACCTTCCATTCCAGATACCTTTGACCGGATAAATCAAGAATGTCAAATTCTCTTTTGGTGATGTTGGCCATGGAATAACTACAACATATTAAATTAAATTTATTAGTTTTTTTTTAATTTATAGATAAGTAGTATAAAAAAATAAAAAATCAATACATTCTGTATTTTTTTTAGTTGGTTGAAAACACCATCACAATAAAAACATACAAGATTCCATGTAATGAATATAGAAAATCATAAGGAGAGGGGTGGGCCACATATTTCTTTAGTGGAGAGTATGTTTAAAAATATATATAGATATACCGTATTCCATATCAAAAAGAAAAAGACAAAACAATTTAAGTAATGTATAATAATTTTTACTCCATGTCTTTTAAAAGAAAGACATACTCCCTCAACTAGTGGTGAGTACGAAAAAAAACAAACATACTCACTCAAGAGTATTCAAAACCAAAAGGAAAAAGACAAACTAATCTACTGGTGAGTACGAAAAATATAGTGATGAAGAAAATAATGGCATGCTCCCTCTACTAGTTGATTGGAGTGTTTATATCATGCTACCCTCTCTATCTCTTTCAAACCAAGCATATACTCAGTAAAAGGCTAGGATATATATGCAATAAGAAGAATACAGTAGCATATAGATTCAAGTAACAAATGTTAAGAAAGTTATCTGCGGGGAGTCTACAATTCATGCATAGATTAATTTAAGGTATGTTCATAATTGAATTCTAATTTATCTTTTAACTTATTTTTTTTAATATAATTTTTTTTTAAAAAAAACTACTTTGTACTAAATTCTACTCTGTTTTAATTTATCAAAAACATGATTTTCTGATGTGAAGGATCCCAAATTTGGGCAATCACAGAGCATACTTCTCATAATTTTAAGAAAATATTTTAGTTTGTTTATGAAGAAAATTAAATAAATATACCTTCTGAGAAGAACAAGGATTCTGGGATTTTGAGCAAATTCGTGCTGATAACGTGTTATAAAATGAGAGAAAAACTAATAAGAGATTATGAGAATAGATATAATATATTTCTGATTTCTTCTCTCTATTAATTCTTCACTCTTCTTCTTATTCTTAATGGTGATTACAGTGCAGGGATTAGGCCTCTATTTATAGTGGAGAGCCTTGGTATGGATACAAATACAAGTGGGAAGTACTGTACATAATTGATACTCATCAATGAGTGTCTTAATCTACTATTCTAGAAATTAGTCCTGATTAATTGAATAAATGAACAATCATTAATTTCATAACAGTATCTAATTTATCAAACAAATATCTAAGGAGGGACATTCCATTTGTCTATTAATTTCAATCGAAAAGTCAATGAAATTTTCAATTAACCATGCTTTCTTACAAAAAATGTTGTGGAGTAACCTCTATAATGGGGTGAATTCCCAATCAGTGCAATTTTTGAAAAACCATTCCCAAATGGTGAAGGGGAGTCTGACATTGCGCAGAGTGGTCATATTTAAGCATTAACGGGACTGCTAGTACCGTAATTTTATTTTTTTTAGATTAACGGTACAGCCAGTACTGTTAATCTATTAGTTATTGATAATTACGAAATTAAATGCATCCCTTTGTTAGATATTGGCATTAAATTTGAACAATAATAAAAATTTTATTAATTTGATGCACTACTACTGAAATAAAAAGCATACAAATAAAAGTTGTCGTACATATATAAAAATCCCACATTGAAATTTATAATTTAACCAAGTTCCCCAACGATGTCTTCGTGCTCGCATATCCATATTATTTGTGAAACGAGTACTCACTGGCCGACCGGCCTGTGACTTTTGCCCTGTAAATGGATGGACTAATTCATAACCAAGGGTAGGCCATTCAATTTCGTTTTGTAGTGGCACAACACTTCTAGAATATGCATCAAGATAATTCTGAAGTGAAAACACTCGTGGGATGAGATCATCAACAGTAATGTTGCAATAACGACACACGGCATAGACATGCACACATGGCATGTGCAATGTGGCCCATTTCCCGCAAGTGCACAATTTTTGGCCCAGATGCACGACAATCTCATCTAATCTACCGGTAGCTCCAGCGTTACCCTCAACAACGACCCGATAAATCCCTTGTTGCGGATGATGTGGGATAACATGGCAATGTAAACGATGGTCTTCCATGCGTCTCACCTCATTCCAAATATATTTTGGGAACTTAAATCCCGCTTGTAGCCATGTAAATCCGTTTGTACGCCTTTCTGCAAATAATTTTACTAATCGCTCGTACGTCGTCTTCACAATGGCATATACCGGAAGAGATCGG